CAAAGCATGGGATTACAGGCTGAGCCACGGAGCCCAGCTAACATTTCATAAATTAAGTTTATTACTTAATAGTTTAAATTATGTCTCACATGTTTTTATGGCTTCAAATTTTTTCTGCACTGTCACATAAATCAGTTAAATAGTTGTATGCATAGTAATGTATTTTGTGCCTACATGTGTGTGCATATATTAATGACCTTTTATGCAATTCCATGTTGTTATCCTTAAATTTGTTTCAAGTTTGTTCAGGTAATCCTCTGTCAACATACTTCTCATGCTATGGTTTAAATATTGGTGTCCTCTCCAGTATTCATGTAGAAACTTAATCACTGATGCAACAGAATTAAGAGGTGGGGCCATTGGGAGGTGATTAGGTGAGTGCTCTGCCCTTGTGAATGTGATGAGCCTTCTTATAAAAGAGCTTCAGGCCGGGCTCAGTGGCTCAGCCTGTAATCTCGCGCCTTTGGGAGGCTGACGTGAGTGGATTGCCTGAGCCCGCGGGTTCGAGACCCGCCTGGGCAGCGAGAATTCATCTCTACAATAAATAAAAAAATCAGCCGAGTGTGGTAGCGAATGCCTGTAATTCCGGCTACTTGGAAGGCTGAGGCGGAAGGATCGCCTGAGCCCAGCAGGTTGAGGCTGCAGTGACCGGGAGTGGCCACTGCACTCTAGTCTGGATGACAGAGTGAGACTCCAACTCAAAAAAAAAAAAAGAAAAAGAGCTTCAGGCTAAAGGGAGTGTTCTCTTTTCCTTCTTCCTTCCATGACGTGAGGGCCCAGAATTAATCCCTGTCCCCAAAGGACTCAGCAGCAGGCACCATCTTGGAACCAGGGAGTGGAGTTCTCACCAGACAACCAACCTACTGGTGCCCTTCATCTTGGACTTTCCTGTCTACAGAACTATGAGAAATAAATTTCTGTTTTTTTACAAATTACTTAGTCTAAGATATGTTGATATAGCAGCACAAACAAACCAAGATAGAAATTGGTGCCAGAAGTGGAGTGTTGCTATAACAAATACCTAAAAATGTGGAAGTGGTTTTGGAATTGGGTAACAACTGGAAGCTAGAACATTTTTAAAATGAATTCTGGAAAAAGCCAAGAGCAGAGCATTAAGGGCCATTTCTGCTGAGGGCTTAGAAGAAGAAGAGAACTGTAGAGAAATCATTAGTTTTAGAGATAATCAAAGTGGTTGTAATTAGAACGTTGGTAGAAATATGGATAGTAAAGGCAATTCTGATGAGGTCCTATATGGAAATGAAGACTATCTTATTGGAAACTGGAGGAAAGGCTACCCTTGTATCAAAGTGGCAAAGAATTTGGCTGAATTATGTCCATGTACTTTGTGGAAAGCCAAATGTAAGAGTGATGAACTAGGATATTTGACAGAAAGAAAATCTCTAAGCAAATTGTTCAGATTGCTGCGTGCCCTCTCTTAACTATTTATAGTAAAATTTAAAAAGAGAAATGTGTTAAAGACACAATTTATCATCAAAGGTGAAGCAGAATTTAAAGATTTGAAAAAATTCTCAGCCTGGTTATGTAAAGGATAAAAAAAGTGTGTTTAAGAGAGAAAACCAAGGGTGTAGCCAAGAGACCTTTGATAAAGAGATTAGTATGGATAGAAGGAATCCCAGATGCTGTTTATTAAGACAATGGGGAGAATACTCCAAAGGCATTTTGGATCCTTTTGAGGCTGCCATGCCCGTTATAAGTCCAGAATGTCAGGGTCTTGAGGGCAGAAAAATTTCAAGGAAGAGTGTCCTTTGGATCTTGGAACTCAACTACCTCAAATCTGTAATCTCTGTATATTGGAGCAGTGCTTCTCAGCTATCCCAGCTGTGGCTCAAGTGGGCTCAGGTGTGGCCCTAGCCACCACTCCAGAGAGCACAAGGTGTAAACCTTGGTGTCATCCATGTAGTACATATTGCAAGTGTGCAGAGGGCATGAGCTATGGAGGCATGACTGCTTTCACCTGGATTTCAAAGAATGTCACATAGTCAGAGAGCCTAGGCAGAGATATATCACAGGGTGGAATGGCCACAGTAAGTCCCCACTAGGGCAGTGCCCAATGGAGCCTTGGGGTTGCAACTACCTCCAATGGTCCTCATCAGGGTATGCATAGTTATGCCATGGAGGTGGGGCCATCTCACACAGTCCCTATTAAAGCACTGTCTAGTAGAGCTCTTGGGAGCAGGGATACCCCTGGCACCCCAGAACTGCCAAGTCACTGGTATGTGATCCCAACTTGAGAGCACTTCAGGCACTCGACCACACATGTGAAAACTCCCATGTAGGGTCATGCCAGCAAAACCACTAGGGCAAAACCATCTCATTCCAGGATGTCTAGAAGGCGGGACATCAAGTCGAATAAGACTATTCTCAAGCCTTAACACTTAATATGTGTACCCTGTTGGGTTTCAGATTTACATGGGACCAGTTAGCCCTTTTTTCCTGTCTAAACTATGTCTGCACCACTATTGTATTTTGGAAGCGCATAACTTGTTTAATTTCATAGGTTAATAGCTGGAGAACAGTTTGTCTTAGGATGAAACAAACCTTTGAGACTCACCCATATCTGGTTTAGGTTGTAATTGGATACGACACTAGACTGTAGACTTTGGAATTGATAGTAGAACAAGTTAAGACTTTGGAGGCTATTGGGATGGAATGAATATATTTTGTATGTGAGAAATACATGAATTTTGGAGGGGTCAGGGTAGAATGCTATGGGTTGAGTGTTTTTCTCTCCAAAATCCATGTTGAAATGTAAACCCTAATGCAACAGTATTATCTCCTTTAGAAGGAGATTGAATCAGGAAGGCCTGGCTCTTATCAGTGGGACTAGGTGCACTTAGAAAAGGGCTTGTTCACTGCTTTTTGCACCATCTGTTCCTTACACCATGTGGGTTCACAGTGTTCCTCCCCTCCAGAGGGTGTGGCAGTAAGGCACCATACTGGAAGCAGAGAGCAAAGCTCACCAGACATCAGTCCTGCTGGTACTTTGATCTTGAGCTTCCCAGCCAGCAGAATCATGAGAAATCAATTTCTATTTTTTGTCAATTACTCAGTGTATCTTATTTTATTTTAGTAGTACAGAGAGACTAAGACATACTGTAACCATTATTTAATTGTTTGATTCCTTTGGTTTAACTCTAATTTGCAGGCATCTTGGTTCAGGGGCTTGATATTTCTGCCACCTTCAGGTTGTTCATCTGAGGTGAGGTTTTTTTTTTTTTTTTTTTTTTTGTTGGAGTCTCACTCTGTCGCCCAGACTGGAGTGCAGTGGCTGCTCCCGGCCACCGCAGCCTCGATCTGCTGGGCTCCGGCGATCCTTCCACCTCAGCCTTCCAAGTAGCCGGAATTACAGGCATGCGGTACCACGCCTGGCTGATTTTTTGATTTATTGTAGAGGTGAGGTCTCGCTGCCCAGGTGGGTCTCGAACCTGTGGGCTCAGGCAATCCACTCACCTCAGCCTCCCAAAGGCGCGGGATTACAGGCTGAACCACCGAGCCCGGCTAAGGTGAGTTTTTTAGAGTGTCTCCTAGTAAGATGGGAGCAGATCTTTCTCTCATGGGCTACTATGTTGTTATTTAAGGTAGAACATGTAATGGATTTGGAGTAATGTGGAAATGTTATAAGTTTCAGTCTTTGATTGCTATTGCTGTCATCATCACAGTTTTGTTTGTGACCTTTCTTTTTTTTTTTGACTTGGAGTCTCACTCTATCACTCAGACTGGAGTGCAGCGGCCACTCCCGGTCACTGCAGCCTCGACCTGCTGGGCTCTGGTAATTCTTCCACCTCAGCCTTCCAAGTAGTTGGAACTACACGCTTGCACTACCATGCCTGGCTAATTTTTGATTTATTGTCGAGATGAGGTCTTGCCAAGTTACCCAGGTGGGTCTCGAACCCACGGACTCAGGCAATCCACTCACCTCGGCCTCCCAAAGTGCTGGGATTACAGGTTGAGCCACGGAGCTTGGCCTGTAACCTTTCTTTAAAGCCACTGTGGACGTTGTCCTCTCTGCTGACACCACTTGTATTTTAGCTCATCTAGATGCTGCATATCACTTAGTGTGTCGAACATAATATCTGACACTTGTATAGAGATAGCCCATGTTGATTTCTTATGTGTGTATTTCTTTCTTTTTTTTTTTTTTTTGAGTCTCACTCTGTCACCCAGACTGGAGTGTAGTGGCCACTCCCGGTCACTGTAGCCTCGATCTGCTGGGCTCCAGCAATCCTTCCGTCTCAGCCTTCCAAGTAGCTGGAACTACAGGTGTGCGCTACCACACCCGGCTAATTTTTGATTTATTGCAGAAATGAGGTCTCGCCAAGTTGCCCAGGCGGGTCTCGAACCCGCGGACTCAGGCAATTCACTTACCTCAGCCTCCCAAAGTGCTGGGATTACAGGCTGGATCACCCAGCCCAGCTTGTATTTCTTATATTATCCACAAAAATGAGAAATCCACACAGATTTAAAGGATATCGGAATCTCATTAAATTTAGAACAAACCAGAATTAAGGACAGATGACTTTCTCACAAATGCCTTACATGAATATGTCAAAACATATACGCCAGTCAAATCAATCCTTACAGTTCTCTCCTCATTTTTTTTTTTCTTTTGAGTTGGAGTCTCACTCTGTCGCCCAGACTGGAGTGCAGTGGCCGCTCCCGGCCAATGCAGCCTCGACCTGCTGGGCTCCGGTGATCCTTCTGCAGGCATGCGCTACCATGCCTGGCTGATTTTTTGATTTATTGTAGAGATGAGGTCTCGCCAAGTTGCCCAGGCGGGTCTCAAACCCGTGGGCTCGGCAATCCACTCACCTCAGCCTCCCAACAGGATAACAGGCTGAACCACCGAGCCCAGCTCTCTCCTCATTTTGTATAAAGATAATAACTCTCCTCACTGTACCTTGTTGAAATGTGTTTTTTATTTCAGGGACCTTTGACATTCAGGGATGTGGCTATAGAATTCTCTGAAGAGGAGTGGAAGTGCCTGGACTCTGCCCAGAAAGTTTTGTACAGGGACGTGATGTTGGAGAATTATAGGAACCTAGTCTCCCTGGGTGAGAATAACTTCCCTGCAGTTGGGATCTGCCCTGTGTGTATGTGTGGTTTTTGTTTTCTTAATACAGTCTCCCTCTTTTGTTCAGGCTGGAGAGTAGTGGTATGACCATAGCTTACTGCAGCCTTAAACTTCTGGGCTCAAGGAATTCTCCCACCGTAGCCTCCTGAGTAGCTAGGATTACAGGCATGCACTGCCATGCCCAACTAATATTTTAATTTTAAATTTTATAAAGCTGATCTTAAACTCCTGGCCTCAAGCAGTCCTCCCGCATCAACTTCTCAAAGCACTAAGATTATAGGCATAAGCCACCATGTCTGGCTGCCCTGGTGTATTTCTCCCTTGTGTGTCTCTTGGGAGCCCCATATTATTTGGCTGAGATTGAAGCCCTGTTGATTCACAAATGAAAAGCTTTCATATTGAATCATCTGGCCTTTAACCGCCCCCTTCATTGTACAGCAATGTTGGTTTCAGAAATGAAAGTGTACGTAAAACTGTATGGAAGACTTTTAAAATAGCCTGTTCTCTGTGTTCTACCCCGTGCTTTTGATTCAGCAGTTCTTGGAAGAGAGCTAGATGTCTTACAGTGCTTTCTAAGCATTCAGAAAGAGACAGTCAGTGGTTGAGTTGTGAGATTTTTTTCTAGATCCATCTGTCATGTCCTCTCTTTTACCTAATTGTAGGGTTGGGATTCTGGAAAGGCCCTAGCACATCATGTTCCTTTCTTTTTATAAGCAGGAATCTCTCTTTCTGACCTGAATATTATCTCCATGTTGGAGCAAGGGAAAGAGCCCTGGACTGTCGAGAGCCAAATGCAGATAGCAAGAAAACCAAATAGGGGGGAATGGATCAAAGGAGTTAACTCAGGTAAGAGCTCAGGTGGGGACAGTGGAAGCTGTACCATTAAGTAGGGTTTGGGAAACTCTTCACAAGTAGGAGAATTCTGTGGAAAAACAAATGATATCTTGTGAGTTCTGAAAATAAATGTCTTCTTCTCTACTTATCACTCTGCCCTTTAGACATGTAAAAGTTTACGAGGGGGGACCCCCAAAAACTTGGAATTTATTTATTTGTTTGAGTTGGAGTCTCACTCTGTCACCCAGAGTCACACTCACAGTCACTCCAGCGTCAACCTGCTGGACTCCAGTGATCCTTCTGCCTCAGCCTTCCAAGTAGCTAAAAGCATAGGCACGTGCCACCATACCCAGCTAATTTTTTGATTTATTGTAGAGATGAGGTCTTGCCAACTTGCCCAGGATAATCTTGAAAATAAACTTTGATTTCGTTTATCTCTTGATCAGTTTCATTTTTTTTTTTTGAGTTGGAGTCTCACTCTGTCACCCAGACTGGAGTACAGTGGCCACTCCCAGCCACTGCAGCCTCGACCTGCTGGGCTCCGGCGATCCTTATGCCTCAGCCTTCCCAGTAGCTGGAACTACAGGCTTGTGCTACCATGCCTAGCTAGTTTTGATTTATTGTGGAGATGAGGTCTCGCCAAGTTGCCCACACGGGTCTCAAACCCATGGGCTCATGCAATCCACTCACCTCGGCCTCCCAAGGTGCTGGGATTACAGACTGAGCCACTGAGCCTGGCCCAGTTTCATATTTTTAAGGATACTTGGTGCTCTTTGTTTTATGTTGCTATTTGTGGTAGTGTTTTGTGGGGAATGTATATTGTTTTACATCTTTTACAAGATTTTCTTTAGTGCAGATGGTGTAACTCAGCAACAGTTCCCCTAAAACTAACACAAGCTCCAGAATATTTCTTTTGATAAGACAGTTTTAGTTATTCCTTTTACTTCTGTTTCATGTGACTGAATTTCTACTTTTAAAGTATTTGTTTGTCAGTTAAATTTATTACAATTCTTAAAATTGGAAATATCTGATATCTTGAGAATATATTTTAAAAATCAAGTTACTATCTTAATTGCAGAAATACTATTAAATTGATTATACTTTGGAATATAAGATACATTACTTTTTTTTTTTTGAGTTGGAATCTCACTCTGTTGCCCAGACTGGAGTGCAGTGGCATG